CAAGACTCGCAGAGACATCTACATACACACACATACACACACACACACATAAAACACGCACACACGCGCAAACATAAACATACACATGCACATATACACACAAGACACAAGTACTAGCAACTACACAAGCGAGAGGAAGCAGGTATTGGAGGATGGAGCAAAATGGAAAATAAGATAAATCGAAGAAGAGAAAGAAAAAGGTAAATTAGAAGACAAATTATTAGATACTAAGGAAAAATAAGTGAAGTTGAGGAAAGCAAAAGCAGAGGGAGCAATAGGAAATAAGAAAAAGGTGTCAAAGCCCTAATAAGGAGAAAGATAGATGAAATGATTAGCAAGAATGAGAGCAAAAGCAAAGTAAAGGCAAAAGTGAAAAGGCAAAAGAAAGTAACAAAGGAAGAAAGAGAAAAACAAGGCAGATCTCGGAGAGAGAGAGAAAGAGAAGATTTATCAACAGAAAAATGGGAAGAATAGCTGAACAGACAGAAGCAGAAGACGGGAACGCAAGAGTTGCAGATACACCTACATACGTACACATATACACAAAAGACACACACACACACAAAACACATACATTATCAATTACACAAACTAGATACGAGACACAATTGTAATATAAGAAATGAAAACCAAATGTAACATATAAGTTGTAAATAAATAAACTAACTATAACAAAAATCACATATACATATATATACATATTTGTATTTGTAGAGAAAATAATTTTTTCTAGATTTCACTATACTTTGTACAGCATTTTTTCAAAACTGAATAGTCACGAGTATTAAAAGTTACATTTTAATAAATGATCACTTATTTGTCTAAAATTCCTATAATCAAAAATATCGAAATAAGTGTAAGTAGAAGCTGGTCTTTGTAGGCATTTTTTCAGCGTTAAAAAAATGTTAGACAATTTTTGATGCCAGATTTGCATTTGTAGTAGCAAATTGTATAAAATACTGTACTTTGAAATTAATTTTGAAACGGTTAAGAGTGGTAAAAGGTAGAGAACTATCGTAAAAATATGGTTACACAAAGTTTCAAAGGTCATTTGAAGGTCATATAATAGAACTACTGTCTCTATAGTATTTTTCTCAGATTTTATATAAGTCTCGGTTTCATTTGCTTCCTGGTTCATATTTTTGGCTTCATGCTAAGCCGAGATATTTAATTTTTCACACAAAAAAAATGATCCATAGTGAGTTGCTCTTTATCAGCTTACAGCCATTGTAACGTCGGGCCGTTTATTAGCAATGAATTATTTTTTTTTTCCTCATGTACTTTTGTGTAGCTTAAATTTTAACTCGGTAAACTAGCAAAGGAGAGCCTTCAGCTGAAGCAGCTGGAGGACACGTGAAAATAGTCGTCCCTTTATCGCGTGCTTTCCGATGTTTACCTCGAACGATCGTAAAGTTTTTTTGAGTAGGTTTAGATATAGAGTAAAGGAGCCGCGGAATTCCACCTGCATCCTGTTATTCGATTTCACCCAAAAGATTTCCACTTTTAGAAGCCAAAACTTTTGCTATATAAAAATAAAAACCTTAATAACTAATTTTACATAAATGAATCGGGAAAATAACAGCATGATAGGAAAATTTCGCAGCTTCTTGAAACCTCCCACACACTTTTTGATTAGAAACATAGTTGCCGCGCAATCATTGAAAATAACTCGAAGTTTTAAAATTACAAATTAGAAAAATGAGGTAAATAGTCGAAAACAGTTACTTGAACGAATTTTAGCAAATCAGTTATACAGTCCACAATTAAATAATACCCTTTTTTCGTTCGAATTTATTTAAACAACGAAGTGAGTTAATTAATTAAGTTACTAATTGTAAACATGTAGGATCAAAAGATTTTCGCGTAAAATATGTTAAATAATAAGGAACTTGCGTTATTTTTAAGAATTAATTGTAATAATTTTATATAGTAAATAAATTAATAATTATAAGAGAAACTGTAATAAAAATGGTACTTGGAGAGTCATCTAGCGAGATAAGGCCCAAACTCTTGAACGCGCGCCCCCAATTCTCACCACGCCCCCGAACCAATTAGGGCCTGAAATCCGAAGGAGAAAAGGAGGGAAAATCTCAGTCGGCCAATTAGAATTCACTGGCATTTCCACTCTTCCCAAATTTTGAGGGACTGAAAGAGGGATTTTCCTCCCAACCACCCCCAGGATTTAAAAGGGCGTGCGCAAGCGAAAATCGCTCTCTCACGCTCCTCGCAAGGCTCTAAGTGCATCTCATTGACCAAGTGCCAGGTCCAGATTGACTTCTCCCAGTACCAGTATATTAAATAAAAGAAAAGTAAGTTGAAACAAATTTTTTTTATCTCTATCTCTCCTTTTCCTCTTCTTGTTAGAGTAGCTGATCGAAACTCGTGAGAAATAGGTCTTCGAAAAGGTATTTCAGCAGGAATTGGGATACTTTTTCAATAAGACAGTCGCGCCGTTAAATAAAAATTAAAATACTTTTTATGTGATAATTCCGGCAAGGTTTGGGATTTTCACATCCAAGTCCCGATTCCATTGGACCCTGGTGTTTGATGGAAGGCTTGTAGTCCAGTTTATTCTCCACTCTTTTTACGCGAAACGCGAAGTAGAAAAGCTCTAATTCTCCAATCGCTCGTCCCGGTTTAAGCGTACGCACGCAAACCGAATAGAGCGCCTGAGATTACGTCCGCCTCAGACGTACCTGAGATAGTGACCCGGACGTCACACCATTAAGCATCTTTAATTGCAAATTAATTATTACAGCTTTAAAACGTCCTATGAAAAGTAATTTTTTTTCGTTTAGAAGCAGTTAGTTTCTTCTTTCTGAATGTAAATACGTTTTTGACATATTATTATTTTGACTCTGAAATCATGCTATAAATATTGCAAATCATGGTTATTTAATTACTTTACAATGATTTGACCTCATTATACATTTTTTTGGCATTTCTCAGCTATGAAGAGTAAAAAAATAATTATCGTAGTATAGTATTATTTCTACTAAAATTTTTCATTTATAAAAACGTTTTATGTCTAACTTAAGTAATATGTAATTGTAATAATATATATATTTAATATATAATATATATATGTATATTATAATATATATATTATATATATATTATAATAATTAATAATTATATATAGTATTATATATACACACGAAATATTGTATATTAATAACTATATTATTCTAAGAGTTATGTATTTATAGTACTACCCATTATTTAAAAAAAAATTATATATCAAATACATACTTACATATTACGTAAAATATTTTCGTATCAATTAATTTACGTTCATATTCTGTGTAGAAGATGATCGCGTTAATAATATTTCATTATTCGAGAAAAATTATTTTTACTATATGAGTTTTATTGATGTACTATTATATTCAACAAAATAAATTCAAAAAATGCGTTAAATTAAATAATGCAGTAAAAGGCGATAATTAGAATTAATTCAAAGAAAATCATTTCCCTTGTTTATTTTATCGACTTATCTCAATAGCTTCCGTATTTTTCACTTTTGTTTTGGCTACCGCCTGCATTTTTTCTTTCATGGTCCTCGTCTGCTTGTTCGTTCTCATTATCTCTTTCTTGCTTTCTTTCTCATTCTTTCTCTCACACTATTTTTTTACTTAGTATATTGCAAAGTTTTATTATATTAAATAATAATGTTTTTATTTACAGCCGTCCGCTTCCAACACCAGCAAGATCATCGACATTAAACGAAGCGGTAAAATACGAAACGTTATCAGATTTGTAAGATAAATTTTTTTCTAGATTGAATTAATGTAAGTTAAATTAGTTTGTAAGATAAATTAAAAATATTCATTTTTAATTTGCAGAGCTGACTCTGAAGAGGAGATAGTGTACAAGGTGCATCAACCAAGGTCGAAACAAATGATAATTAATGTCGATCTGTTGACACCACAGCTGATCGACCTCCCAACACTATCCTTACATCAATTTACTACGGAAATAGCAGCAGATGCTTTCCATATCGTATTTTGTGTTATTCCGCTTTGTATTTTCGATGAAAAAACGTTTTCTCTCCTCATGATTTTACGAATTTACCACTAATACAATTGAAACGTGTAAAGTCCAATATTTTTTTATTGATTTTATTAATTATTTTTGAAACTATTTGAGTAAAAATAAATTAAATATTTATATATAGACACACACACACACACACACACACACACACACACACACACACACACACGCACACACACACACAAGCACGCACGTACGCATACACTCATAGACAATGTCTAAAAATAAATTTTATTTTTAGAGTCAATAGTTCTAGGACTAAGATACCTTGTGATCTTTAACGAAAATATGCCCACAATATATTTTCATACTTAAGACAATGTCACTGTAAGCCAATTTTGTTCTAATGTAACTGATCTCAATTTATGATAATTATGGATTGAGTACAACAGTATTAAAAAAAATGTTTGAAAATTAGTTGAAAGGTGAAAATATTAAATTGTTGAAAAATAAATATCATAAATTAAATCTTTATTAAGTATTTTAAAAAATTTCAAATATAATGATTAAACACAATGATTTTAAATATCGAATTTTTATAAACCTTTATATCTTAAAAGTTTTTCAAGTACACCACTCTGATTTAATACAGAAAATATTCATAGTTTAAAGAGTAAGTATTACTCATAGAGCTCTATTTGACGTGTATAAATTATCTTAAAGAGACTATAATACTTAGTTGACAGTCTACAGTTCCATTGAAACAATTTTTAACTACATAAAAAGCAAAAATTATTAATAAAGATTTATAGATATAAAAATATATATAAAAAATCATAGTCAAATAAAAGCTTTCATCAACCTTTTCGGTCTCGTAATTGTTTGTACCTAAATATTTCTGAAATATGATATATTTCATTATGGTTGATAAATTACTCAACGGTTAATCTTAACTTGAAAAGTAGTTTCAATAAACGGAATAAATGTATTAGTTCTCTACTTACCACTCATGATTTTCAAAAATATAAACTATAGAATATCTCTATAAGAAATTTACAGTTTTCTCGCGCTAAATGCAACCAATAATAAATCCAACAGACCAACTAGAGACTAAAGCGAAATCTAAGACTAGTCTCAATTCGAAAGAATAAAAAAGTTGATGTAAACGAGTATATGAGTTGGACAGAGATGAAAAGCCCGAGAATAACAAGGACAGAGTGTATATATGAGAGAAGGAAGCCTAAGCAACAGTCATAGTATTTTTACAGTGATATACATATGCGTGCTTACCTGATGGTACGCATTTTAGGTTCGTCAATAATAAAATTAGACTTCAAAAAGTTACAAACAAAATTGTTAAACGATTAATGATGAAATTTCGATTTTGTGTAATCATATCTATATATTGGGAATTGTATTTAACTTATTATTTATTGTATTTTGAATAAAATTAGTTTTGTAAAATGATACGCCAGAAGTATATTATAAATGATACGTAGTTTCGATAATTATAGCACACAGATTATGAATAACTAGGAGTGTAGGACAAAATTATAAGTTTCATTAGTTAAATGAAGCAAGTTATTTATTATATTATTTAATACCTCCAAATTAAGAATTTTTCTATTTAATAATTTCAGATGTAATGGTATTTGTTTTATCGAAAAATAGAGAAAATAAAAAATTTGATAATACTGAAACTTAAATAACTTGCATTTTCTAATAAAGAATAGAAGAGAAAAGAATCAATAAAAATTAAAAAAATATACTATTGTTTGGTTGTCTCAACTACTTTATTTATACTTATAGATTTATTCAGTTTATAAATTTTTTTACAATCTCTAGATTAATCAATTTTATTAACTAAGAATTCATCTAGAAATAGTCTATTTTATTAATTTTATAGAACTAGGCATCAGAGAACCAAATAAGAATCTTCTTTTGTTGTAGTATATAAAAATTGTCTAGACTATTTTAGTGTAGACAAACTAAATGTGGTGACGAACAAATGTCCAGAGTCAATTTTATTTCATGAAATAGTTCCAATATTGATGCTCAACAAATTGTCAATTTATCCTCGATCGCAGAGGTGTGGAAGTTTGTTTAATTAATGCGTTTTGATTGAAAATTTGGTTTCTTCGTAATATCTCAATCGATTATGAATTTATATAAAAATAATTTAAACCCTTTTTTTCTACTAAAAATCCACATCCAATGAGTGTTCACTCGTCAAAATCGGTAAATAAGATAATGAGTTATTATCAAAAAACCATCAAAAATTACATGTTATTAAATAATTTTTTTCATTTGTATTTAAACAAAATAATTATACTTAAATAAGTTCAAAGATTGCGTTCTTGTCATAGAAGTAAGTGTAATTTTTTTTATTTTTCGAAATTTTGAATATTGAATAAGCTATAACATTATTTACATAAAAAAGGCTTAATTGCAAATTGCCATAACTTTCTCGATAAATATCGTACAATGCTCATCGACGTTCTGTTCGATTCCTTTTGAGTTATAGGTCTCGAATCTCATAAAAGAACATTGTCATTTCTATCCATTTTTTATTGCAAAATTGATGTCAATTAGGCAATAATTGTAAACGATGTATAAAACCTGCTGTCTTTGGCAGATCTTTCTACAGCAATTAGCAATAATATTTTTTCAATTATAGATCATTCACATTATAGTTTAAGCCCCCAATGGACTCTGTAGCTTTATTAGGACCGAAGTTACGATTTTTTTTTCAAAAAATCGCAGTGCGTATAATTATTGAGATTAAGAAACGAAAATACTTTTAACTTATTTTTAATGTTAAACTTACATATTCTGTACTTGAAACTTATTCATTTGTTTACGTATACTAGTGTCGTCAAGCGCGCGCTCATATCTCGTTTGTATTAATATTAAATTTCCTGTTTAAATTAAAACTAAACTGTTAAAATACATCGCATACATAAAATAGTTCTTCTAAGCTTTAACATGCTTAACATTTGTCAACATTAATTGGCAAATAAAAATCCAATTCCGTTGATATTTACAGAATTATTTATAATTTCAAACCTAATAACGTAGCAGAATTTTAGATGTAGCTAATTAGCCATAGGTAATAAGCAATGTATCAAGTCCATATCTCTTCCTTCGTCTCCTTCTAAATACTAGGTAGTACTGTCAGCGGCCCGAACAATTTAATTTCCTTTCTTGTTTCATATACGAGGATCGTTTGAAAAGTCCGTGGAAAGTCAGAGAGATGACGCTACTAGTGCGTATCAAGGTTATTTTCAGTTAGTGGCATATCTTAGAAGAGCACACACCAAGTTTCAGCCAAATCGGCCAATTGCTTTGTATTTTACATTCGTTTCAATCAAAGAAATCGAGTGGTTGTAAAAAAATGGACGAAAAATAATTTCGTGTATTGATCAAACATTACTTTTTCAAAGGCAAAACGCCTCAGGAGAATAAACAGAAGCTTGATAAACATTATGGTGATTGTGCACCTTCGATTAGAATAGTTTGTAAGTGGTTTCAAAATTTCCGGAGTGGCCATATGAGCACAAAAGACGCTGAACGTTCTGGACGCCCTGTTGAGGTTACCACTTCAGAAATCATTGATAAAATCCATAATATGGTGATGGCTGACAGAAGAGTGAAGGTGCGTGAGATTGCTAGTACTGTAGGCATCTCTAGCGAATGGGTACATAATATTTTGCACCAACATTTGGACATGAATAAGCTATCCGCTAGATGGATGCCGCGATTGCTCACGATTGACCAAAAATGAGATCGTGTGAAGTGTTGCAAGAATGGTTTGCAGCTGTTCCAGCAAAATCCGCAAGACTTTAAGCGTCGTTTCATCACTGTAGATGAAACATGGAAACATCACTACACTCCTGAGACCAAAGAATAGTCTAAACAATGAGTTACCAAGGGCGAATCTGCTCCGAAAAAGGCGAAGACAATTCCTTCGGCCGGGAAGATTATGGTGACTGTCTTTTGGGATTCGCAAGGAATAATCTTCATCGACTATCTGGAAAAGGGTAAAACCATTACAGACGAATATTATTCATCGTTATTGGATCGTTTGAAAACCGAGTTGCTAAGAAACGTCCACGATTGGCCCACAAAAATATCCTCTTCCACCACGACAATGCGCCAGCTCACGCCTCAGCAGTTGTGGCCGCAAAACTGATGGAGATAGGGTTCCAACTCGTTTCACATCCCCCCTATTCTCCAGACTTGGCTCCGTCGGACTACTATTTGTTCCCTAATATGAAAAAATGGCTGGCGGGGAAAAGATTTTATTCAAACGAGGAGATGATTGCAGAAACGAATGCCTATTTTACAGACTTGGACAAATCCTATTATTTGGAAGGGATTAACAAACTAGAGCAGCGTTGGATGAAATGTATAAGCCTAAAAGGAGACTATGTTGAAAAATAAAAAAGATTTATTTTAAAAAATCAAGCAGTTTTTATTTTTGCATGGACTTTTCAAACGACCCTCGTATTTGTCTACGATTTTAAACTTTTTATAAGATGTTTTCATATGAACAGATGTTTCTTCTTTCAGGTTTAGGGTGGTTTGGAGCATTACTTTTAACAAACTCTTTTTTAACATTTTCTTTTTCAGCCACATTATTATTATCTTTTACCTATTTATCCATAACAATTTTAAGGTTATATTTATATTTATAAGTTCAATTTTAAAAAATTTTGTTGAATAATTTTCTGTACCACATCTGCCGAAGTTACTTTACAGTATTTTATTCATCAAACAATCTAACAACTTATGTTTCTCTTCATCTTTAAGAATGTTTATTCGAAGATAAACTTTGTAACACAGATTTTCAATAAATTTTTATGTGCTAAGAATAAATATATCTTAAGAGCATCAAAATTGTTTTATCATATTATTTTAAGGTTAGGCCGTTGAGTGAATGTGTATGCTTCTTGTTTTTAATGTTTACAAAGTCTCATACTTATTTTTTATTCACTCAATTAATGAATATCAAATCAATGTAAAACAACTCGAACTATTTATTAGCATAAATTTGTTGAATATGTCAGCTGGTCTGCTAATAATGGCTTGTATACACTGTAACAGAGAATCTCGGCTAGGCCGATTTCGTCCGTTTGACTCTCGCAAATGTTCGTGCGTCGCGCCAAGCTGAGAGTGTGTGCGTGTGGTACATACATTCATACTTGGTTTTTGTTTACGAGGTGCTGAAGACGGGCTGAGCTGACGACTGGAGCGATGGAGATGACGCAGAAAGGAGAGAAAGAGAGAGAGAGCGCTCGAATCGCGGATCGCCGCGGAAAATTCGAGGGAGTCTCTGCTAGGCTGTGAGCAGAGGAAGTCGCGCGCGCGGATCAAACCGAAGGTCACGGTTTTCCGAAGTTGGTCCCGCAACCTCGACGTTTTGTTTGTTTTCGGAGACACGCCTGGTGCGCGGGCGAGTATTTAAGTGTGAGGCTGGGTCGCGCACAGCCGTGTCCCGAAAGATACCCGGCATTGGTGCGTGTAGATAACCGACGAGGTGCGCGGGTGCGCGCGCAAGTAGTTTTGATGTGCTGCAGTACCGAGCAACGGAGGGGCGACGAAGGCAAAGACAACAGCAATCATCGAGCGAAACAACGGATTGAGGCAGCAATACTGTGAAGCAAGCGAGAGGACGAGCAAGAAGACAAATAGCTACGATAACAAACACCAGCGAGACGATCAGCGAGGAGCACACCGGTGATGACACAGTGCAGAGTGCTCTAATCGTCAGAGAGGCTGAAGGTCGAGGTCGCTGCCGTGTTTATCTCTTGATTCTCTCTCTCTCTTGCATGTTTGGGCGCCAGCTTATGGGTGGTAGCAAGGCAGATTTGCTGACTACCACGTTGATAGTTTAACGGCGAAAAGTATTTTGTCGGGCATTGATTGTAATATTTTGTTTTAACAAGGGAATCGACAGGCTGACCAGCCACTGATTCACCTTCGCGTTTGTTATTGTACCGCTCGTAGGGTATAAGAGCGAGATCGCCGTCTTGTAACCTATTGTTGACGATTAAAGGATTAGTGTATTAATCCGTTGTTGTGTTTATTCGCCGCTGTATCACTCCTCGTCCCGATTTCGAATCTGTGCGTTTAACGTGTTTATGCTCGACGCGTTATTCAGTCGTGGTAACGTTTTTTGCTTCCCGAATCCCCGAATAAA